TTAACTTTCAGCTGATGGTAGCCCGACCTCAGATCAATCTTAGAAAAGACCCATGCCCCTTGTAGTTGATCAAGTGGATCATCAATCCTCGGCAATGGATACTTATTCTTAATGGTCACCTTATTCAGTTCTCGGTAGTCGATACAAAGACGAAGTGTACCATCCTTTTTCTTGACAAATAGAACTGGTGCTCCCCAGGGTGAAGTGCTCGGCCTAATAAATCCCTTGTCCAACAATTCTTGTAATTGTAGTTTCAGTTCCTTGAGTTCGGCTGGGGCCATTCTATAGGGTGTTTTGGAGATAGGTTGGGTTCCCGACATAACATCAACCGTAAATTCTATTTCCTTATCCACTAACTGGCCAGGCAATTCATTTGGAAAGACATCGGGGAATTCTCTACCCACCGGGATGTCGGCTAACTCAACATTTCCATTCAAATCACTTAGTATACTACACAGATAACCTTGACACCCCTTTTGGATCAACTTATAGGCTTTCATGGATAAGATTAAGTATGGTGGGGGTACTACTCCTTTACCCTGGAAAGTAACCTCAGCTTGGTTTGGGGGTTTCAGTGTGACATTCTTTGAAACACAATTAATAGATGCATGATTCGTTACTAACCACTCCATTCCCAATATGACATCAAAGTGAATCATGCTTAACGGCATTAAATCAACTAATAATTCTACACCCTCAATCACAATGACACACGCCCTATAAATGGATGCAACAATCATAGTTCTCCCAGATGGAGTAGACACATATAACACATAATCAAGGGGTTCTTGCTCTCTATTTAACTTCTCGGCAAACTTAGCAGATACAAATGAATGTGTCGAACCCGAATCAATCAATATGTATCCATCTTGAGAGCAGATTGGGAGTATACCTGACACGATTGTCTCAGCATTCTGAGTGTCTCCTGGTACCAATGCAAAAACTCGGCCTTGTCTCGTCTGGGCCCTCCCGATGTTATTTCTCTGTGCAGAGCCCGAGGTACTCCTATTCTTCTTACCGTCATCAGTCCTTGCCTTTGGACAGTCTTTCACGCGATGACCCATTTCACCACATTCAAAACAGGCTCCTAATGCCCAACGGCAAACTCCGGAATGTGGTTTCCCGCAATTTTCACACGTCGGCTTAGCATTACCTTCCTGGTTCGAGTTGCTGGAGTTGCCCACATTCGCTTTCTTCTTGGCGTTAAACAGAACTCGGCGATTGTCATAGTTCTGTCTTTTCCGCTGGCTCTCTCCTGAATTCTGATATCGGTTCAAGTTAGCTTCTGCAAGGATGGCCTTGTCCAATACTCCGGCGTAAGTCGGCATGTTGAGCATGTTAACTCGATCTTGTATCGGCCCACGAAGTCCACTTTCAAACTTCCAGGCCTTTCTATATTCATCATCGACCATGTGAGGCGCATATCTCTCCAACTCGGTAAAAGCACGGTCATATTCTGCCACTGTCCTGCTGCCTTGTGTTAGAGTCTGGAACTCTGTAGTCTTGCAGTCTCGAACGCTAAGGGGAAAGTGTTTGTTGTAAAACAACTCCAAAATTCATGCCCAAGTCAAACCTGGGGTGCTTTCTCGGGTCATCATCCACCATCTTCGTGCATCGTCGTCTAATGTGAACGCGGCCAATGACACCTTCTGGGCATCGGTGCTAGGAAAAATCTCAAACAGTTTCTCCATTTCCAAGACCCACGCCTCGGCTTTCATCGGCTCTATACCCCCAGAGAATCTCGGCAGTTTCATCTTCTTAAACTCTCGGATCAGGGCTATGGTGCCGTCCCCATATAAAGCTTGCTGTGGAGGCACTTGCGGCGCTGGAGGAGGTGGAGGTGGAACTGCATGTCGGCCATTTGTCTGTTCGGCCTGGGTAGAAGTAGTACTAGTGTCTTGTGGCCTAGGTTGTCTCAACTCACGGACCAATCCTTCGACCAATATCTCTAATCTATCCAATCTGTCTTCGGGATGATCTCGGCCAACTGGTGGTCTACCCCTCCTCATGATGCTAAGAGTATGCAAAATGTGACTTTAAAACAAAACGATCAAATAATATGCATGCAAATAACAAATAGTCACGCCTAGATGATGCACACATTGTCAAGTAGCAAGCATTATGATGCAATCCTAACATTAATTCTAAGGAAAATCCAATGCTCTTTAGGACTCGAAGTGTGTGAGTAACGTATTATAAGAAACTTGTGCTCTGATACCAATCTGTCACGACCCCATTTTGCCCCTAGTATAATGGTGCCATGATGGCCAGTAATCTGAGATTTACCAAAGGCCAACTTACAAGGATTCACACACAATCAGAGTATACATATGGGGCTAACATGTGGGAAAGAAATAAATTTAAATCTAATTAGTCCATAAGAACCGTGCATAGATCAAATGGAATGTCATACATCTTATCAAGGTCTTACAACTTGGATATAATAAAATGAAATACAAAATACATCTTGACCAAAACACAATAAATTACAAGCTAAGAAGCATGATCTTCAAGATGCTACAAAATGCGAGTCCAAAACAAGTTGTAAAGCACATCTAGGCGTCACCGCCGTCCTCCTCATCACCTACATATATATAGAGAGAAGGTGAGCTTGGATACTCAGTGAATGGTACAAGTAATAAAGGGTTTGCATGAACAATATCCGAGATCTTATCAAAGCGATACACATTATACCTTGCACAAATCAAAGACAAAACAAGTTCATCTAACAAGTCTTTCAAGCTTCATCAATCAAAGTCTTTCAAGGCTTTCAAGTTTCAAGGGATGACATTAACAAAGGCGCTACAAAAGCTTAGAGTCCTCTGGCACGTAAGGACTTGTGCTACAAATGCTTATAGTCCCCTAGCACGTACGGACTTTCAAAGGTTGTGCTACAAATGCTTATAGTCCCCTAGCACGTACGGACTTCCGAGAATGTTATCCAAAGCAAAACTTATACTTGGCATACAAAACTTATACTTGGCACACAAAACAGGGATAATCATTCATGCTTAACAAATACTTTTTGAAACAAAGCAAAGCAAAGCTTCATCAAAACTTTATAAACATAGCTTTATTAAAAATACCACTCACATAGTTCTTCAACGTCGGGGTCAAGTGAGAGTCCAAGTCCTACAAACACATGGCAAAGTCTATTGAATGTACTTTCAAACAAGCTTTACATGAATGCAAATGATCTTGGCATTCCTTCAAAACTAAGTCAAACCGAAACAAAACACTGTTTCTCATCTCGGGAAAAACTTGCTGGGCACCAACCTCCTTACCGAGATGTGGCCCTGATGGCCACATTCAAGGAAATGAAGTCGGGAAAATCTGGGTTTCCCTTTCTTGAAGAACATGAAGAACATGGACATGAAGAACATGGATGCAAAGATCATAACTTATCATTACAAAATCTAAGATTTCATGCTATGAATTCAAAAACATGGACCAGGGTACCCATACTCGATGATTTTTTGAAAATAAACACAAAAGCATGAATCTTGATGCAAGCTTTCGGATCAAACAAGGCTTTTACTCAAGAACACATGAATACTACTTTCTCTTTCTAAACCCAACTTTAAATCGATGCATGGCTTGCAAATCAGGTTCGATCATGCAATGCAGCTAGATGATCAATAAGAACAACAAGAGTAGATTAAGATTCTAACCTCAAAACACGAGTCAAACGGTTTGAACTCTAAGGATCAAGCTTGGAAATCTATTCCTCCTCTAAGAACTTCTCTCTCCTCAAGAACAAGATATGATACAAAATGATGCATTTCTCTCTCCGCCGGTTGATTTAACACTCCTCTTGGACACGTGGCAACGGCTGGTTGGCTCTACTCAAAAAGGTGACTGAGTGAAAAGACAAGACTATGACAAAGTGTGTTCAACAAGCAAGATGGCATAGGTACTCTGGCAGGTAACAATCTTGGCTAATGACAAGGCATCGGCAAGTAAGGGAACAATGATCTCGACTAGGAAGGACAACACTTGGCCTAGCTGTGCCACATCTCGGCCTAGATGTACCACACCTCGGTCTAGGTCACACCAATCCAGGAACAAGATCACTTAGGCGCAAAGGTAACATCTCGGCCTAGATAATACACATCTCGGCCTTGGTGATGAACACCTCGGCCTAGATGATGACATCTCAGCCAGAGAGAGAGAGAGAAAAAGACGATCTGCCAGAGAGAGAGAGAGACGAACTGCGACAGACGAAAAACATAGAGAGAGAGAGAGAGAGACGAACTGCGACAGACGAAAAACATAGAGAGAGAGAGAGAGAGACGAACTGCGATAGAGACGAAAAACAGAGAGAGAGAGAGAGAGAGAGAGAGAGAGAGAGAACCTTCAAAGTGATGAAAGAAGAAGAAAAACGAAGCAAAGGACATACCCAGTCTCAAATAGGTTCTTCTTCACCTTCTTTCTCCTCTCTCTTTACAAGCTAGGGTTTTTGTTCTTCTTCACCAACGATCCCATCTTGGACAGGATCACGTTTCTCTCTCTACAGAAACGCGATTCCTATACGTTTCTTTCTAAGAAACGCAGAATTACGTTTCTTACGAAGATTCGTTACCTGTTAGCACGATTCCTGCAATTTTTGACAAGTATTTAAGTAATAAATTTATATAGTTGCTTCTATGTTATGCTGCAATTAATTGATCTTCTATTGATAAATTTTTTTGAATTGGAATAGGTTAAAACCGTGGAACCAAACTGGTTTCTATGGTTCAGTTACATAGTTTTAACTGTCCGATTCTGGTTTTAAATTTCCTAGAACCGAAAGGAATGGTTTGATCCCATTTCCTCCTTAAAACTGCACCAATTTGGTTCGTGCACAACCCTATAAGAAAACATAAATAGAGTAAAAGATAAGGAATTCTCCAAGAAACCTAAATAAAGATAATCGAACAAATAAATAGATCTTAGGCTACATATGCATATATTATATGTCTTTTATCTCTTTGTTTTGAGACAAAATAATTAATTCTGGACTAATTTCTTGTTGGTTGATATAGATTTATATAGAGGTTGACAAATTCAGGGAGGAATTAGTAAAGCATCCTGAGAAGTCATTGCCCTCATTATTGGTCACTATTAGTGGTTTATTTTCAAAATTGGAGGCGTCAATTGGCCATTTTCATACAGTGTGTCAGGTCATTTCTCTCACAGATGACCTACTTTGTTTTCCTTCGGCTTTCCCTGTTGTAGTTGCAATTTACCTTTGTATTGTTTTCCTCTCTTTTCTTTTGTTTTTCTCTTTTAACTTCTAATTTTATTCATAAACATAAAGCATCGAAAGAAGGTAGAACTACTTACCATTAATTTTGATGTACTTTTATACCATTTTCTATTTGTGTAATCACTGTGCAGAGTGACTCTTCTGTTGATGGGAGCTATTCATTCCCTCTAATGTTTGAGAAATTGCCAGAAGTGAACCAAGAAGGCTCTCAATGGACAGATTGTGAGATTAGAGATGCTATCAACTTAATTTATGAAAATCTACTCAAGCTGGATTCTTACTTCAATGTCATTGTAAGAGTCTGAACATTCTTACTTATGCTTTCTGATTTTTGTTCAACGTTTGTGGTTGTGTTTTATTACTAAGAATTGCTTGTTTCTAAAAAGGATTTTGAATAATTGTAAATGTTATTGAGTAGAATGGGATTCTGAGAAGTATGATTTACTAAGATCTACCCATAATCTGTCACACTACAGCAATACAAAATTAAGTAAAAGGTAGTGCCTCTTTGCGCACAAAAGGATATATTGACTGCAATGAATATACGTGGAGGTGGTAACGTTTGACATGTAAAAAAGAGTTAACAATTTTCAGAATCTAGAAAATGTCCACTATTTTTTTTTTTTTTTATGATTAGCTATATTAAATATTCATTCTTGGTAAAAACTATCAATTATGTACCCTCGGATGACTTCATTTACTTTCTTTACATGAGGGAGCAGGTGCTGCTAACATAACTTGGGACTCTAGAGCTTCTCCAGAAGACATGGAAGAGATGTCGAATCATCCTATTGTTAGTAAAGAGTGGAGCAAATCTAGGGAGAAACAGGGAAAAGTGCGATTTTCTCACGATGCCGAGAATAGACCTTATCTTTCTCGGGTAGAGTTAAGGGTAAGATTAAATAATATGGATCTACAAAATATTTATTTTCTTGCATGTATTTATCATAACTGGATATTTTGAATGCTTCCCCTGCTGCTATGTTCTCCTGCTACCCCCTCCTCCTTCATCTTCTTTGTTACTGGTCACCATTTTCAACTTCATTGGTTATCTATAGGACAACTAAGAAAGCATAATTTATTTTCCATGACCAGTTGACAAACTTCTCCCAATCTTTGAATAGTTACCATCACCTACTGAATTATAGGGCAGGTTTTGAACTTAATTTAAACGCGAAAGGTGGTATATGGATAAGCTAACTTCCATAATCAGGTTAATCAAAACATGTTGGAGCTCTTTTGGTGATAGCATGCAAACTGTGGGAAGTAATTGTCATTTTCCATCAATTGGCTTTTGATGGTTATGAGAATCTGAATAAATTATCTCAAGAAATCACAATCACCTCCCACATTCTTTCTGGCCCTCCTTGAGTCATTTGGGAATCTTTAACTTGTTTTTTATTTTTTTGCTAGGTGAGATTTTCCATAAAAATATATGAAAGAATAGAAGTCAAGTACAAAGAATCAAGAGGGGCATACATACCCCTCGTACAAAATGTACAAAAAACACAAGGTCATAACAGTAAAACTTTTAGATCATTTGGACTAATGTTGTTCCAGGACTGAAAGAGGGATAGACTAATTCCTGCAGTTGAGATTAGTGAATTTAACTGAGTGGCTTTGACTCTCTGTTTCTAACATGCTGCCTTTTTCTTGCAGGCAATTGCATAAATTATACTGTCAAAACACTTTATTTCAAGAGTAAAACCAGTAAGTACTCTACATGGTTGTAAAAAAGATGCCATTATGTGACTGATTTATTCTTTTCCATCCTAAGAAATTTAAAAACTTTGAGGTGTTTATCCTCGGTCATAGTTTCACCATACATTCAAATGGAAGGCCGACTAGTCAAACCATGCTCTTTAGGGAACTATTATCCTTTGTGACAAACTCATTGTTAAGTCACCACTAGTCCCAAAAGCTTAAGTTGTTAGGAAATGAACCCAACAACATATATCAAGCTATCCAACATTATGTTATATTAATTACTTTTTAAAGCTCTTTATCCCACCACCAAAAATTTTTAGATGATGGCCCACTATCTTTAGATTCCCCATTGGACATTGTTTCATTTATAATTAATTATAATGTTCATGGCTCTTTTCAATATTTCTGCTCCTCCATAAGATGTGGCCATTGAAGCCGCCACCTATAAATTTTTTTTCCCTTTTTTTTTATCCTGTCTACTATTTAATGCAAATCCTTCTGAAATTGTCACATACTTTCTTACATTCATCTATTTCTACATGGGTGTATTCACTAACTAATCCATATTTAAATTTAGAATTACAACCAATTCATATCATTGTGTTTCCTTTAATTAAAGTTTATTTTCTTTCTCTTGTTTTTGTTAGGTGCTTACTTGGTGAGATTTAAAAGCTTGGGTTGGTAAATATAGAGGTGGATTCAACTGCTATGAAACATCTGGAATCAAATAACCAAAAAATTCAAATAAAAATAAAAAAGCAAATTTGAAAAAGATTAAAATCATACATTTCAAAATAGGAGACACCTCATCGGAGCACTCAATGCAACATTGTCCTTAACAGTCACCTCCTCAACTTTGTAGGATTTTGTTGCAAAATCTAAATGAAACCAAATCTTACTTGATTGATTCACAATGTTTATAAGTTACCAGCTTTATTTATTATTGTTATTTGAGGTAGAAAGTGTAGCAATTTGGAAAGATACATAGAAAATCACAAAAACACTTTGAAAAGTATGATCATGTGATCCTATGAATCGATCCACAATCCCATTGTGCTACTATTGCTTATTTTATTTAATCCTAGATACTTGAAGTTTCTATTCTCGATCTTATCTTTCTCGACTCATCTACTTGTAATTTTCTTTGTTTTTTGTCTGTAGTTTTTGATTTCCTTCCTAAAATTCACTAGTGTGTAGACGGTTTTGTGTGCTCTTGCTGAGATTGTTAGCATGCGTTTCGTGAATGGGGTTGGACCTCGTCCAGGAATAATGGGAATTGACTACCCCACAGCTTGCTGGCTTTACAAGTATGTGAATTCCAGGCTCAAACTGAATGTTTGTTTTAGACCATTGTAATGCAGGTATGGATAAACAGTCATAGTGTATGTGAGAATGGGGACTTAAACCCAAGTAAGGGGGCCTCTATCATCTCTTGCTTAACCATAAAAGCTCTTTGGTATCTTACACTACGGAATAAAATAAAAAAAGTTCAACATCTCATGCTCTTTAATATAGTGTTTATTAGCAACTTTGTCATTTTGGCTCGTTATAGGATATCGGGATACCTCATTAGAATGAACTGAATTGATCCAATTGCCTACGAATTGGAAATTAAGTTATCATAATAAATGGAGCATAACCAAATTGATGTTGATTAAAATTAGAAATTACTAAATTTTTTAACCTCCATATGCTTCTTGTTGAACAAATTTTTAGAAAGATATTATACATTTTTAGTGAAACTAAAGCAGAATATGCTTATTCCAAGGCTGAAATTTGCTTGAATGTTTGCTTCTGATGTGTAGGAACTTGGGCTACAAGGCTTACATAGTAGAGTTTATCGATGATCTAACAAAGCCTTTTGTTTCCTTATACTTCGGCGCTGCCTATTTGGCTTGGTTATCACAATATGAAGGGAGTAAGTTTGTTTGCTACCAAAAACCATCCATCTGTTACTTGTCAAGTGTTTTTGATTGAATATATTTTGACTGACTTAATGATTATCGTCTGGTGCTAAACCAGGGAAAGGACCCCACAGTTTGTTGTTTAGGCTTATCTTGTGGGGCCAAAGAACGTAAACCTTCAGGAGACAGGTCCTCTTTGGCTTAAATTTGAGGAAGCATTAAGTCGACACGAAGACCTAAAGAAGTAGGTTTCACTTCATATTATATATAAATGTTAAACACTATGATTCTGTGTTCATATTTTTTGATGGTGAACATTATTTTACAGGGAACAAGGGAGCTACACCATTTTATAAGCTGACTCGTTTATAATTTAGGTGGTTTGCGGAGGATCCATTATTTTTTGTTGCAATGTTATGAATGAAAGCTTGGGGGTGGAAACGACAAATAAACAGAGACGATGGTTTTTGTACAGAGATGTAAATCATGTACTGTTAAAATAATATTTATGTGCAGCTCTCTGTAGGTACACTGTGTAGTAAGTGCATACAAACGAAGTTTTATCCAGGTAAAAGATGGTTAATATAAATTTCTACGAATGTTTACTTCCTGTCCCCCATGTGTGTCCAGGGACGGATCCGAGAGGATTGAATGTCATGGGAAGCAGCATGGAGAGCGATTCAGAATGACGGTGAAAGATGGATGGGGGTTGGGTGTTTTGGTTTACTTTCTTCTTATTTTTGGTGTTAAAATCCTTTGGATTTTTATTTCTCTTCTTTTTTCTTTTTTTTCTCTGATCTGACTGGGGGGTTCGGTGTTTTGGTTCACTTCTTATTTTTTGTGTTAAATGAGGGAGTGGTGAGAGAGAGAAGAGGGTAATGTTATTTTGTGGCTTTGTATATAAGGTAGTAATTTTTGATTGAGAATTGTGAATTCAATTTTTGGATATGTTATTTTGTGGGTAATGGTGATTGGATATTAAATTGAATAGCAAAGTGAATTAATGTTGTATTTGCTATTTGAATGGGAGTTATAATTTCATATTAGTGTTATTTAGTTTTATTACAGGTGTTCTTTTAGTTTAATCACATGAAATTAGCAAAATTTCAAAAAAAAAAAAAAAAAATAAGAAAAAAAAAAAAAAAAAAGATAAGACGGCGTTTCTAAAACGCCACTACAACAGTTGGAATTTTTAAAATTAAAAAACCTATGACGGCATTTTAAAAAAGTCGCTAAAATTATAGTAACGTCACAGTACAATAGGACATTTGGCGGAGTTTTTAAAAATGCCGCCTATACTAATACAGCGATGTTTTCCAAACGTCATAAAGCTATAGCGACAGCCACGCTGTCGGGGTTTGGTACTAAATGTCACAAAAAAAATTAGTGACGTTTTTGGTACTTATAGTGGCGTTTTTTAAACGCCGCTAAAAGCCAAATTTCCTGCAGTGTATGTTGCGATTTCACATTTACTAAAATTACCACAAATAATATCATATGATACTCCACGTGCATCTAATGATTTTCTGAAGGTAGGAGGCCCGAGTTAATCAAGGCCGATCAACCACTTTATTCATATTGAGGAGAGAGTTTGCTTTAATTTTTCCACAAATATTAGCCAAATCAACAAGTGGGACGGCCCAGAGTATGATGGTGCATTTAGTGCCTTTATAAAGACTCGGACCACTTGGGTGGTAAATGTGCAATTCTGAGTTTGTGGAGAACATGCAAAGAAAAAATAGGTGTATCATCATGTTTATAGAGATGAGGTTGGTGTGGTTGTGGGTAACGTTGTTGGTTTTGGCTAGTGAGTGCCATGGTTGTTTGGATCATGAGAGGGTTGCTCTTCTGCAACTAAAAGCTTCTTCCATCAACCACCATCGCCACCCAAGCCTCCTCCCAACGTGGGTGGAGGCTTGGGAGGGTGAAACGACGACTGACTGCTGTAAGTGGCAAAGAGTCAAGTGCAATGCTACAACAAGGCGAGTGATCCAACTCTCACTCAATTCTGCAGAGAATTTTTGGAAATTAAGATATTGGTATCTGAATGCCTCAATGTTTCTTCCATTTGAAGAACTTGAAACTCTCGACTTATCATACAATGGATTAGCGGGTTGGCTTGAGAATGAAAGTTTTTTTGATTACTAGAATAGCAACCAAACAAGTCTACTCTTTTTTTTTTTTTGAATAGCAAAGAAAAGGATTATATTGATGAAACCGAAAAAACAACAATTACAACAAAAAGGCTAGGAGGAGGAGTGCAAAGAGCATCATAGCGAACCCTATCAATCCCAACTAGGTTGGCACCGACAGGGCCGCACAATCATATGCTAGCACCACCACAACCAAACAAGTCTACTCTATAGTTTTCTTTTTGACAATATTTCCAGAAATCACGTTGTGGCCTATGCTATGATATACATTATTGACTGTTTTACAGGTTTTTAGAAGTTGGGTGAATTAACATCTCTAAAGTCTCTAAATCTATCTGGTAATTTATTGGAGGGAACTATTCATATTAATGGTGAGTTTAAAGTCTATTTCTTTTCATATTCAAAACCTATTTGGATAAGGATTCAAATTCAAATTTAATGGTCATGCCACATGGGCGCCCATTACTAACAATATTAATGGTGAGTTTAAAGTCTATTTCTTTTCATTCTTAACTAAGAGTTTGAGACTAGTGTAAGAATTCAAAAATAAGCAGGTTTATTTGGTTTCCAACTAATTAATACTTTCATTTGTTTGAGACTAGTGTAAGAATTCAAAAATAAGCAGGTTTATTTGGTTTCCAACTAATTAATACTTTCATTTTCTTGACTTGAGACCAGATCTTAAAGGTTTGAATAACTTGGAGCAGCTTGATATTAGCATGAATCAGTTTGATAGTTTCATAACTCACTTAGGTATGATAACAATACCACTTGAATACGAAGCAAATAATGAACCAAAACAATAGATGCTCTGGTTTCAAAATACATTTTTTAGTCTATTGTTGGGACAAATGCGATAACTTAAATAAATAATGATTATATCTATGAAGGGATATACAAAATAAACAATTTGAATAATCAAAATAGGACTTGTGATAGATACCATAAATTCAAACAACACCCTTCCATACCCAATCCAAAATTAAGAACAGCTACTTGGATGGCAGCTGAATTAATGATTCTAGTGAATTAGTTTTTTTTTTTTTTTTGAAAAATAGAGTTTGTTTTTTAAACACTCATCTTTGTACATGATTTATGATTTATGGGTCCGTCACCAGATTTATCCCATCTCCCACTTGTCATAGTTGCAACATTTGTTAAACAACTGAAATGGACTCATTTGCGCAAAAATGTTAGGTTCCAAAAAAAAAATTACTAAAATTTTTACATAATATTTTTGTAATTATGAGCTGTAATGATGAGTGTTTGGTCTTATAATAAAAGGACCACAATATGCCACACAATTTTATATCAAATTCAATACAAAAATTATGTTTGTAGATCACTATCTTTTAAAATTGGGTATCAAATACAGGTCTTGTAAATTTATTAGGATAAATTACAAACATATCCCCTGAGGTTTACTTAAATTACAAATTACCTCCTGTGGTTATAGAAATTATATTATATCTCATAAGGTTTCTAATTTCGTAACAAATAGGTCCTTTTATTAATAAATTATCAAGTTAATTAACAGTTTTTAATATTGTTAAAATTTTATTTCAATTAATAATTCAGATAATTTTATTATTGTATAGGTGAACAGTTAGAAATTTTACTTTTTCAATTAATTCTGTTAAATAAAAAATTTTGATAGGAAGGGATTAGTAATTTTCCAAACCACAAGAGATAATTTGTATTTTAAGCAAACCTCAGGAAGTGTATTTATAATTTATCCAATTTCTTAGTAAACACACTACCTATTTTTATTTTTTTATTTTTTAATAAATTGGATTACATGTCAATTTTACGTGTTGTTTTAGTTGTGAGGATGGTGGTGACTTGAAATAGAAATTGATTTTTGCAGGTTTTGAAAGACTATCTGTGTTAGGCAAGCTGGAGGTACTTGGTTTGGGAAACAATTTTTTCAATAATAGCATCCTACAATCTCTTGGTGTCCTCTCATCACTCAAGACTTCATCCTTACGGTACACCCGTTTGAATGGATTAATTGACATAGGAGGTAAGTCTAGTATAAAATATTTCCCCTATTCACAACTAAAACAACTAACCAGCATCAATATGGACGATCTTTGCAGCATCAATGTGAGTTTTATGGGCCGTTTTTATTAGACAAATTATAACATAGGATTAAAATTATCAATCTATGGAATTCACATTATAATGTTTAGTTATAATTTTTATTATTTGGATTAGATTTCAATGGACATTTTATTCAACAAAATTGGTGAATTTTTTAATCCTATAACTAATACAAAATAAACATATAATTGGTATTATATATTTCAATATTCATTGCAAAACAAATGCCTTTGTCTCAATAATTTAATTGAATAATCTTCCACTAATTTCATGAATTGTTAATCCTCTCACTATTATTTATTCTAATCAAACAAAGCCTATGTGTTGTTGGAAGTGCCGGATAATGCCTTAAAATACCATGAGATTCAATGTCATATAATATATTGAAATTATTAAATAATTATTAATTATTTAGTTTTATGATAGTCTGACTCGACAAAAACCATAGCACCAAAAGAGTAAGTCCCCCAAGATTGAGATGGTTATCATTTTAGTTTCTAATTTATAGAGTTACGTGTGATTTTGGTTCTCTGTTTAAATTGTATCCGCATAGTTTTCAATGTATAAAAATTATTTTGATTTCGTCTTCCAACCAAATTCCATTTGTAGATACCATTAAATTTAAGGATTAATATAGAGATTCAATTAAAATTTTACTCTTATAGTTCCTAAAACAAGATATTTGTATTATTTTGATCCTTAATATATAAATCATGTCGATTTAGTATTTAAAGTATACAAAGAGGGTGTTTGGAAAGTATGACTATTTTAGTAGGTTATTTTAGTTTTTGACCATTTTAATAGATTAAGGCCAAGTTTGGCAACCTAAAAATAATCCATCTTTTTATCTTTTTTCCATCACATCACCTCTCTACTTTTCTGCACATCTTTTCGTAAAAAGACAAAAAGTGCACTTATTTAGGTCATCCCAAACAACCCCTAAAATAGTTGCGTTTGAAAATATGGTTAGAATTTTTTTATAATTAGATGTGATATTTGCGAGAGAAAAAGTGAAATAATTATAAGTTTGATGTAATATTTTGTCTTATTAACTATTTTAGTCTATTTTATCTTTTAATGCTATTTTAACTCAAAAAGTCAAAAAAAAAAACTTATTCCCAAACACTCCCAAAGTGTTTCAATTTGGTCCTCGAACCAAGATTAAAAAAACTATCCACACTTCCTCTGTCTTTCTCTCTCAAAACCTCCACCTCGGGTATCACCGCTGGCCTATGGCCATGGCAGTCAGCTAGCCTCGCTTCCTTTGTGTGTGATTGTTGTTTTCTCTCTTTTCAACTTGAATCTCCAAAGTTTTCCCACCATATATTATTTTTTTCCAGATCTATAGATTATGCTTAGGTGTGTTTTGATCTATGGTGTTTGGCCATGGATCTTCTTTCAGGTCTTCTATCGGCGGGTGTATGGTGATCCAGTTTTGGGCGCTTCTCAGCAATGTGCTGGGTTGTTCAGTATTGGAAGTTTTTTGGCCATGGGTGTGTTCGAATATAGGAGTTTATTCGGCAAAGCGGTCGGTGGTCTCAGATCAGGTGGTTGAAGATTAGGAGGATGTATGAGGCATGGGTCTTTGGCGTTGGTCGTGGGAGGTGTTAAATCTTGGGAGGTTTTAGGCCATGGAAGTGGTGTTTCGGTGCCGGCTGGTTCGGTTCAGAGAGGTGTTTGACAGGTGGGAGAGGTGGTTTTTTGGCCATGGGTGGTGCCTCTTGGTTGTTTAATAGGTGGGAGAGGGGTGGTTTTCGGCCATGGGTGTAGTTTCTTGGCCATGGGTGTGTTCGAATATAGGAGTTTATTCGGCGAAGTGATCAGTGGTCTCAAATCGGGTGGTTGAAGATTAGGAGGATGTATGAGGCATGGGTCTTTGGGGTTGGCCGTGGGTGGTGATTTATACTTTTAAATTTCTCGTTGCGTTGCATCTTTCGATTAGGAATGGCGACGGGCGGGGCCGGGGATTGCCCTCCCCATCCCTGATCCCCGAAAGTATGGAACTCCCCGTCCCCGCCCTCGCCCCCGATCCCCGATGGGAAACCCCTCACTCCCCCACCCCTGTCCCTTAACGGGGATCGAATTTCCCTAACCCCGAAACATCCCCGACGGTGACAGAGTTACAAAGCTGAGTTACAGAACCCCTCATCATCATCATCACACACACACACGCACGCGCGCGCGCGCGCACACACATATCCTCATAACAGAACCCCTCATCATCCTCATAACCAGTCTTTAACCAGCTGAGTTACAAAACCCCTCATCATCATCATCTCACACACACACGCACACACACATTTGCAAATCTGAGACTGAGATCTGAGTCGCCATCATCATCACATACACACACAGACACACAGGGAGATAAGAGAGGTCTCAATCGGTTGAGAGAGAAGAGAGAAGATGGAGACTGGTTGCGCCGCTGGTATCAAGCGGCGGAGTGCGGCCATGGCGGCGTAAAGACGAGAGACAGATCGGCGAAGGAAGAGGGGATCTGAGATGAGAGAGAGCGAGATCTGAAATGAGAGAGAGGAGAGGAGTTCTGTTAGATTTGTGATAAGAGAGAGAGAGAGAGAGAGAGAGAGAGAGAGATGAGTATATTTTATATATAGTGGGTTGGTGAGTGAGAGAGAAGAGGGAGGCAGGGCAGAATCGGGACGGGAAAAGGGGCCGGGGCCGGGGTCGGGGTCGGGCCGGGGCCGAGGTAGAACAACTTATCACCGTCCCCAGCCCGAAAATAATCGGGAATTTTTTTTTGAATACCGTCCCCAGCCCGAAAGTTTCGATAATCAAAAAAAAAAAATTGGTCGTCTAACCTTATTTTGTGTTTCTTTATTTGAATGCAAAACATAAAATCATAAATACATATTAACAAAAAGCGAATGCATATATATTAAAATAGAATAATACTATATGTATTAATTAATGTACTAATTAACAGATGACGTGAGATAACTTTAGAAATTTTGGATATTTATAATTTATATAATAGGTGGGGTCAGTAATAACGACATAACACTAGTTGGTACACTGGTGTGTATATTAATTAGTATATATAACATCACCAATTAAAATATATTGGATGATAAATTGCAAGAAAAAAAAATTCAAAATAATTATCAACAAAAAATTTGGCAGCAAGGATCTCATTTATTGTAGAATATAAGCTTTGAGAGACAATTTTATTTTTCTACATCACAAAAATTACATTTTATTATAATAATATGAATATTTCTCTCTAGAGATGTTGACTTTTCTTTTTTCATTTTCTTCAATTTTTGATGATTTGTATTTATGAATTTCAAACTTTATCCCCATAGTTCAGGCGGAAAGATAGACAAAATTATGTTGGAAGACAAATCAAAACACTTTTTTTATATGTTGGAGTCGAAATTGACACAATCCTATACAACTCATAAAACAATTAGAAGCCAATGTACACTTAATTCTTCTTTTTATTATTATTATTTTTCTTTTTTATTTTTATTTTTTATGAACAACTTAGAAGAGCTGAATTTTGGTGGCAATTCAATAGAAAATAAAAAAAGTGCGAAAAATTTAGAAATTCCCTAGATATTGATTTGTGATTAAATATCAATTTTAAGCAGTAAATAACAATCTCAATCAAACAATCAAGACAAATCAACACAACGATTTTAACGTAGAAAAACCACAATTGGAGTGTCTTCAATTGTGATAAAAAAAAAAAAAAAAAAAAAAAAAAAAAAAACCATGAACAAAAATCACAAAACAATTCACTAAGAAGACATAAAGGAATTACACAAGTGAACTCTCAATTACCTACCGAATCCACGCTCAAATCGAACCGACCCCTATATGCCTTTTCCACCACGGTCTTCACCTCGGAATTGTCTTGTTCAACATTGAATCCACAACGTCGATGTCGAACCCAAGATGATGAGCCACTCCAGAATCCACCAAAGCTTCACGCCCGAATTCCCCATAATCCATCAAACAAGAACACTCTCTTTTGTATCGAATAAATAAACAATCCTTTGATGTATACTTTTCAAACCAGATTTAAACTCAAACAAAAATCAAAGAAACTAGTAAAGAATCTCTAGATATAAATCCTAATATCCAAGAAGAAGATCTGGAAGTCGTAACCCTAAAATCTAACTGAAACACATATTTATAGAAAACAGGTTCGCGATGGTCGCTCGAGAGAAGGATCTCTCACTCGAGCGAGGAGACTAAAATGCGTGTTTTTTCGAGTGTCTTCGCTCGAGCGAGAAAAGCATATTCTTAGTATTTTTACAATCAGTGCAAACTTCTGGGACCAAGGATTCTTCGCTCAAGCGAACAAACAACTTCAACTGCATTTTTGCTTTTTGCTTCGCGGGCGCTGCCCCTTGACCCCGCCTGGGCGCTGCCACGGACCCGCCAAGAGGCACTGCCCCCTCTACTCTTGCGAGCTAACCGGGCAATTCAATCCCCGACATAGTTAGCGAAATGACAAACATGAAAGAATTATCTTTTGAAACTTCTCCGCAAGGCACACTTCGGGTTGGATTCGCATCTAAATACACATAGCCTCACTGAAATAAAAGAGCGAAAACAAGTACAACTGAAAGGAGTTTTGTCAAACAGAATTGCCAATAATAAAAACCTAATAAGGTGTATAATGGAGAATTTTTTTGCAGGTTGTACTCTCATTTTGGAAATTAAAAAAAAAAAATCGGTAAGATTTTTCATTTGCAATATTGTTTCACACAACACGTTTGTATAAAAATAATGTTTGTAATCATTATCCCAAATGAAGATTTCAAAGTTTCTTAGTAAACAAACAAACTATTTTTTGAATTTTTTTTTTTAATAAATAGAGTAGATCACATGTCAATTTTAAGTTTTGAACGGATTGGTGGTACTTGATTTGGAAGGCAATTCATTCAATTGATATTGATACAAGAGGTAAGTTCAGTAATAAAATACTTCATATGTTCACAACTATACAATCTTTCTATCAACAATGTGAGTTTCAAATGTTATATTGGCTTC